TGTTCTGGCCTGGCCCGGTTTCATGTGCCCTCCTTCTGCCATATTCCCTGGGCCTTCTTCCCTGTCCCTCACTTCTCTCTCCCTCGAGCTCCCAAGACACACACACACACACACACACACACACACACACACACACACACATCTGAATGCCCTCAGGTCATGCCCACTTCGGACTCGACCTGGATCTCCGGAGAAGCCCTGATTCCCTCCCACCCCAATGCTGCGCAGATCACCTGTCCAGTACCGAGCACCCCACAGCAGTCACGACAACCCCTGAGACCCGAGGGTGCACCTCCCTCCCATCCCCTTGCGCACTGAGACTGTAGCCCCTCTGCATCTAGATGAACACGTCGGAGTGTTCCGGAAGTGCAGGAGAGGGCAGCGGGAGAGCCGCATCTGGTCAGACAACGCTGTGTGGTGGTGACGAGCAGACCCGGGGGTTACCGTGGCCTCCAACAGCACTCTCTCTCTTTCTTGCTCATGACACATGTCCATCAGAGGTGAGCAAGGAAGTGCCACTCCTCCCTCGTCATCTCATAGGAATCAGAGGGACAGAAGACGTCTTGTCTCCTGACTCCACAATCCCAAAGGCAGGGAGCCACGGCTGGCAAACTCCCACCTGGAGGTGACGCATGTCCCCAGCTCTACTGGAGGGGGCGGGCTGGCTGCCTGGCTGGGACACCTTTCCTCCTCCTGAACACAGCCGGGCGTTTCCCTTGATGTGTGCACAGGGCGCAGTCTACAAAGCCAGATGTGCGTGTGCGTGTTTCTAATTAAAACCTACTGCAGGAAGCCATCTAATTTGCCGAGACTGACCCTGGATTCAGAGGAAGTGGGGGCTTTATGTGTCCAGATGAGCACGTCAGAGTGTTCCAGGAGTGCGGGAAAGTGGGAGCATCTGGGAAAAGTGCAGAGTATCTAGTGCAGGGAAGCAGAGGAAGTGGGGGCTTTGTGTGTCCTCGGCCAACGGAGAGCGCATGAATTATTGACAGGATAGAAAAAGAGGCCCAGAGAGGAAGGGCTGCTCCATTATTCATCAGGCCTGGAGTCCCCAAGTCCCCAAGCACAGCTGCTGGCTTTTACACCTACAGCACTTTCCCATTATGTCTACAGTGAATATTTCCAAGGCCGGGTGTTGGCAGCCTCCAAGCGGGGCTCCCGCCCACGCCTCTGCCACCGCAGCCTGTTACCTGCCACAGGCCCGGCTGCTGCTGAAATGTGGGCCGGATGTTGGTGCTGCACGCCCACCCACCTGCCCCCCTGGCTCCCTGCTTCCAGGGCTCAGAGTCTGAGGTCCAAACCTCTTCAAAGAGCCAGAAAGAGCAAGGCATGGTGGTGGCATATACCTGTAATCCCAGCACTCTGGGAGGCAGAGGCAGGAGGATTGCATATTTGAGCCCATCTCAGGAAAATTAGCAAACCCTGTCTCAAAACACAAAAGGCCGTGGGGTATAGCTCAGTGCAGCCCCCTTCCAGCCTTCCACCCCCCTGGCAAACTTCTACTCATGCTCCACAACCAGATCCAGGCAAGACAAGTAACTTCTGTTAAGAACCTACCATGACTTGTCTTTGCACAAACAATTGCACTGAAGTATCACAGTAACCCAGTGAGGTCGGGGTTGACACCAGCAGCGGCTGTGTGTATGGGGTCTGGTGCCGAAATTAAAATGCAGCCCCTGATCAAAAATGATTGAGAATTTCAAAATGGCAAAAGAACATGAAACCAAGCACAGAACCTTCCTTGGAGGTTCTGCAGGTGTCCAAGTCATACACTCATGAAGCCAACCCTGGTAACAGCAGAGCAAACTAAAGCTCAGAGAGGCTAAGTAACCTCTCTCAGGTCACACAGATGGATGGGGACAGAGCCATTCGATGTAACCCACATCCCTTTTCTCTCAGCCACCCTTGCCTTGAAGCCTCCCCAACTTGGCCAGGCTAGAGAGAAGTCTGTGAGCCCCACTGGGACTCATTTCCCTTTTAAAATGTATCTTCCAAAGACAGGCAGGGAGGCCATAGATCTAGACTTTACATGGGCATTCAGAACAGGGTCTGGGGAGCAGGTAAGTGGGCATTCAGCATCATCAATCAGCTCTTGGTAGGAGACACCCTTCCCCAGCCCCTCTTCCCTATCCCCACCCCAGCAATCTCATCACCTCGCCCCTCCTCACACAGGATCAGCTGCCTGAGGACATGGCTGCTGCCAGGGGTGGTGACCCTGAAGGACACGGGTCCCAGGCCAGCCTCTCTGGCCCTGGCTGGGAATATTAATTGCACACCTTGAGCATGGCGTGTCTCCTGGCGGCTGTACCTACTTTCATCTTTCCTATCATTGGTCCAGCTCCTCCTGTAGTTACGTTTAATGGCTTTCTTCATGACAGCTTTAGTCTTGGGGAAATTTATCCAACTCATAGTCATTCATTTGGCAAACACCAACTGTGCACCTACTATGTGTCAGGCCTTCTGCCTTTAAAAGCTCATAGCACAGTCGAGGACTTGGATGGTATGCTCATCAGTGCTATACTAATGACAGCAGGACCAAATGCTCCTGGGCCCAGAAGAAGAAGATGAAATTAATTCCTGGGTCAGAGGGAGCAAATTAAGATGTTGAAGGATGCACAAGAGTTTTCCAAATAGAGAAGAGGGCAAGAGAGATGGAATTTGCACATTGAGAAGAGTCTGGCAGTGTTGGGGGTTGAGGGTTTGAGATCTGTGAGCACTGGGGCCAGCTGAGAGACGTGGGCCCCTGGCAGGGGGTGAAGCCTCTCTCCATCAGGGAGTGGGGGATGGAGAGCAGCACCCCTGGTGCAGGCAGGGAAAGAGAGACAGGAATTTTCTAGGTTCAAAATGCTGTGCATGGAAACCAGAAATATCCTTTCCAAAAACCTTCCACCATCCCAGCCGTATGCGGGGCCCCACTCACATGTGGCAATGTCATCTCAGAGACACCCAGGTCAAGAGACTTTAGTAAGACAGCTGCTGCCACACAGTTCATGACAACTATGTTCACTACTGATGTTCATTATTTGGTAACCTACTTTTACCCCCAAACCTTTACATATGCCACAGATCTTTGGCCCTGTCATGGCCTGTAGGAACTTTGCAGATTGTGGTGGATTGACAACTGGTGGTCAGCTTATAACCCCCAGCTGAACTGAGTAAGCCTGGTGCTAGGTGTGGGAAGCCCACCTGAGGATTGTTGCCAGCAGTATAAGAGGGAGAACTGGAGAAGAAGTTAGGCTGATGGGAGCTGGTAGAAGCCATTGGGATCCTGTTGGAAATGGAGAGAAGCTATAAGGAGCTGTTGGTTTTCTTGGAGGAGCTTGTCGTGCTGGTTTTCCTGATAAACTCAGCTGTTCTCATCTTCCAAGGAGCTTCAGACCTTGTTATCTCAGAGAACAGCTTCGGTTCACTTTGGGGGAGCTCTGGTCCTCGCTCTGAGCATCGCTTCCTGGCTCTGGAGGGGAAGATGGTGCACTGCTCGGTCTCCTGGAGAAGCTTGTCACGTTGGCTTTCCTGATGGGAACTCAGCTGTTCTAATCATCGCAGGAGCTCGGGACCTTACTGTTGCTAAGGATGGCTGTGGTACTTTTCAGGGGAGCTCTGGTTCTTATTTTGAGCGTCGCTTCCTGGCTCCAGTGTAGATCCCTCAGCGTGCTGGCACGTATCCTTCATTCCGCTGGACAGACTTTCTAGCTTCCACCACTAATCTTTGGGCCTTCCCAGCGCAGATCCATGAAACAGGCCTGCATGAGACATTGTTATGGGCTCTGGACCTCCAACTGGACTCACAGGAGGCACTGTGAGGAGCTTTAGGTCTTCAGCTGGACTCATGCAGGACATTATCGTGGGATCCAGGCCCTCAGCTGGTCAAGATTCTTTGGTCTTTAGTGTGTGGAGAGATTTCCTGCACTCTGTGTATATGACTCTTTGGGTGACTATTATAAACAACCTTATAAACCGTGTGTCCTATGTTATACTGTTCCCCATGAGGTATCCCCCAAACCACAACACAGATCTCCCAGGGAAAGCTCCAGGCTGGCCAAGCTTCCCCGCTGGAGGCTCACCCCTGCAGGCCGCCCTATCTGAGCACAAGCTACACAGACGTGGGAAGCAAAGGCATGGTTGAAGCTGCACTGCAGAGGAATGAGCAGAGCTGGAAAGGAAAGGCAGCCGAGAGGATCCTTGAAGTCTAACAGCTGGACAGCGCCCTCCCCTCCAGCTGCCGCTTTCATGTTAGCCATTGACCGACAAATATTTTACTGGCACATTCTGGGCCCAGAGAACAAGGGAAGCAGAAAAACTGCAGGAAGAAGAAATCTGACAATGTTAGGTGCCATATATATTTGCATTTTATAGTTTATATGGACAAACAGTTTGCTTAATGCCCCAAGGGAAAAAAGTCATCCTGGGGTTTCAGAGCTCAGAGCCCAGAGCTAGCCAGACCTGAGCTGCAATCCCAGCTCTGCTTTTTCCGGGTGTTTGTCCTCGGGCATGACATTTCCTGTCTCCGGGCCTCGGTTTTCTACTCTGTGAAGCGGGTTGTTGTGAGAGTTCAGTGACCTGCAACACGCAGAGCCCTTTGGCCAGTTCCAAGCACAAAGTAAGTGCTCAGTAAATGCTAGCTGAGTATGCTGTTACCCTGCCGTCATCTTATCATCTTCATTAAAAAAACAGCACAGTAGCAGCAGAAGCAGCTGGCTTTGGAAGGGGAAGTCTGACTCAGGGAAGTCCTCAGCCAAAAGGCAGGCGGCCTCGAAAGCCTCCCTCTCCCACAGCCAGCCCCCACTTCTCCACCTGCACCCCTGCAGGGGCGCTCCCCCACCGCACCCCCAGCCTGGCTCATCTCCGGGGGAAGGCAGCGGCCCCGGGGTCCCAATGCCGCCTGCAGCTGGCGGCGCTGGATCCGGGAAGCCCCGCCTCGGCCCCGCCTCGGCCCCGCCCCGCCCCGCTCTCCGCGGGTCCCCAGCTCGAGCAGCGGCGGCGGCCACGGTCACCCGCGCCAAGCATCGCGGGCGATCGGACGAGGCGGGCACCGGCCTCCTGCGCGGCACCTCGCGCCCCGCCGGCGAGGGACCCACGACCCCAGGTCCGGGGCGCGGCCGCTCCCGGGAGGTAAGAGCCCGTAAGACCCGGGAGACCGGCTGGCCGCTCCCCTGGGGCCGGGGAGAGGACGATCTCTCGCGGGGCCTGGGTCACTGCTAGGGACAGGGGCGCGTGCGTGCGTCCTAGAAGGGGCAGGGTGTGCGTGTGTGTGTGTGTTTGTGTGTCTGTGTCTCTGTGTGTGAGAGAGACAGAACGTGCTGGAGGGAGCGATGGCGCCCCCTCTTTGCAGACGTTCTTGGGCAATTTGCCCACTCCAGACTCCCACCACACACTCGAGTGGGGTTGGCGCCAATGACATGGGAAATGCAAGAAGGGAAAGCCCAGCACCTGTTGAGCTGGGGTATCCGTCTTTGCCCTGCAAGCTCTGGGCTTATTGCAACCCGCGGGGTGGCCCCACTTCCCCAGGGGGTTGCACCCACGTGTAAGTCCCCGGTCTGTCTGCCCAGGGATGTCTACTTGCTAGGGACTCCTCTGACCTGGCTTCGGGGACCGTAAGGATGCCCAGGGCGAGCTGATAGGAGAAAGTGTCACAGCCCGGTGCCCCCAAGCAGGGATGGGACCTCGGGGAGTGGGCGCTGTGGAGACGGGACAGCAGATAGAGGCTACAGGAAGGCACCCCAAAACATTTCCACAGCCACCCCAAAGCTCCTCGTTTAATTACGTGCCCTCTTTGCCCTCTTCCTAATTTGGCAACTGATGAAGATGCAGCTTATTAAAAATTTTAAAGTGAAATCAGAAGTACCCCCCCTCCCAGACCCGGAAAGGGGATTGGAAAGCTAATTCCAGGGTACCTGGCTGAGGAGCAAAAGGCTTCTCTTCAGACTGCTGGACAGAGCCACACGCTCCCCTTGACCCTGCCAGGCACATCCACCGCCCCTTGGATGGATGAGGAGGCTCTTGTTCAGAGAAGCAAACAGATTCCCCCACTTTGCCCCGGATTATTGGTGTCTGGGAGAGCAGGATCCAGGTCACCAGGGAACCCAAGATGGGGCTCCCTCTCAGCCCCCCAGTCTGCTCCCCTTGCTACAACCCTTGATGAATGAACAACCTGCTACCCTGGTTAGCGTAGGGGTCCCTGGCCTGCAGCTGATGTCCTGGTCTCAGGGCATCTCAGGACCAGGGGCATCTTGGTGACAGGTTCGCTCCTCCTGCTACTCCCCTGCCTGCCTGAGAAGCCCTAGCCGTGTCTCACTTCTCTGCTGATGTGGTGCCTGGGAGTAGCTGAGGGACCTGAAGGTGCCTAAAAATGGAGAGATCTGCATGTGTGCTTGGTGAGCACCCCTCAACTCCCACCTCCCTCTCACTCTGAGGGAGGAAACGGAGCAGTGGGGCGGCTGTGTGTACTGAGGGCTACCGTGTCTACACATGTCTCCTGTGACAAGGCAGGGAAGTGGCCCTGCCATGGGTGTGGCTGCTGGCAATGTGAGGCCCCCAGCGTCTCGGTGGACCACACCCCTGAGCCCCTGAAAGTGAGTCAGAGCTTTTTGACCTGGGGCTGGGCAATTTGGGGTGGTCAGTGATGATCCCCCTGCTAGATCACCAAGTCGCTGTGGAACCCAGGCCAAGCCACAGAACCGCTTGTAGCTTAGTATCCTCACCGTAAAGCCAGCCAGTGGGGTGCTGTGAGAACAAAGGTCACAGATGACTGTCCGGCTCCCTGGGAGGGTCCTGCGCTGCTTGCTGGGCCCCTGCTTTCCAGCCCTCAGCCTGACTCCTGGACACTGAGCTTGGGGAGGTGGACCGTGCCGCAAGGAGGCCTCAGGCATTCTCAAACCCAGGTGATGTGGCGTGTGTGTTATAGCAGAGTAGGTCACAGACTGAGCTCAGGTTCTCAGAGTGACAATGAAAGAGCTGTAAGCCAGTCTCTTCCATGCCCCTCCTCTAGGGGGAGCTGGCACTTCCGTCCCCAGGCGCATTTTCACGAGATCGCTCAGCCCGCTAGTAATCTGTCATCCCACACTGGGTCTGGGGCCACTTTTACTCTCTGGTAGAATTAGGGCCCCATGCATGTGATTTTAGGAGCCCCAGGAAAACCCTGGCCCACAAAGTATCACCCCTTCTCCCCAAACCTGGTGTCTGGGCCTAATATTCCATCATGAGACGCTCGGTCCTTTGCTATATGTGAAGGGGGTTGTACTCCCTTGTACCCACGTAGCTCAGACACTAAACGTAGTTCAGCCGGTTTCAGGACCTTCCAGAGGAAAACGAGAAGACAGAAGAACAGAAGACAGCAAAGAGAAAGTTGGGGGGAGAAAAAGAAAAAGCTGCAGGGAGAAGAGAGACTTGGCCAGCCTCAGCATTCTGCAGAGAAAGGCACAGCTGCTAAGTCCAAGGAGTCCCGGGAGGAGGGGGAGACCGGGGAAGGCGAGGCAGGGGCTGACAGCGGGCGGGGAAGTGAGGAACCCAGCGGGAATCGTTGGAAGCATGTGTTTGACAGTGCTGGGCGGCGAGCAGGGCTCCTGCAGCAAAGACAGCCTTCCTCTCCCTCCCGTCCCCCTCGGCACGCAGCAGCAAGGCAGCTTTGATGGGTTCTATACGGAGGCGTTCTTTACAGTTGGAGCCGGGGCTGTCACACTGTCTGCTTAAAATTGTCCATGGCAATTTGTTAGGTCAGCGGGATGAGGAAGTGTCCCCCGCCTGGGATGCGCTGGCCTCGGGGAGGTTGCTGCGCTCGAGTCTCCCGAATGCCCTACATCCTCAGTCCCTCTTATTGCCTCTTTCTGGAAAGAAGCAAAACAGGAGCTCCTGGGTTGAAGCTCGAGGGAGGCTGCTGGTGGCGGGGGTCACCCTGAGTGGATTGCGGTAGTGCTTCCCTGCCCAGCTGGCAGCTCCAGGCAGTGTTTCTATAAGAGGACAAGTGTTGGGTGCCAGGGGTGGGGGGTCAGGTTCATTGTGGGAGGGGCGAGCTCGCACCACTGGGCCTCGGGCAGCTGACAGCAGGGACTGGTCCTGGCTCGTGACAGTCTGACAGTGAGCAGTGTGCATCCCCATCTGGGTGCTGCAGCAGGCAGACCCTGGTCTGGAGGGAGACGTGACAGGCCACCAGCAGGACTTACCGCCGTAAGCACCCAAGACAACCGTTCTCAAGGCTTACCCTTGATCATACTTGTTTTTAAATAATAAAACATGACAATGATGACAGCATCGTTTTGCTCTTTTGTAGCAAGCATTTATTCATAACAAGAGCACCTACTATGTGTGTGCCAACTACTGATCTAAGGCACAGGGCTACAACTGTGGTGCCATTTGCATTTGGGGCTGGCTTATTGTTGGATTTGCTGGTGGGAAGGCTGTCCCGTGCGTTGGAGGATGTTCAGCAATGTCTCTCTGGTCTCTACCATACTATACATCAGTAGCGTGCACACCCAAACACACACACACACTCACACACACACACACAGCTGTGACCACCAAAAATGTCCCCAGATATTGCCAGATAGCCCCTAGGGGAGAAAACAGCCTGCTGTTCAGAACTACCAGGGATATGTCTATGAATAAAACAGAAAAAAAAAAAATCAATCCTGTTCCCTTAGGAGTAAAATTCTAAAGAGGGAGATGAGCAATGACTCTTCTAAAGATGTAAAATATGGAACCAGCCGCACGGGAAGAAAGCTAGAACAATAAAGGAGGGTCAGAGGCCAGGGAAGCAGGTGGGGGCGGGGCTGCCATTTCCAAAAGGGACATTTCAGCACAGGGGTGAGGCAGAGGGAGCGAGGCGGGCAGAGAACTGGGGAAGAACTTGCCAGGCAGCAGCAGCAGGGCAAGAAAGTTAGAGAACCAGGAGGAAGCAGCCGCTGCTGGGTGGGGTAGGCAGGAGGGCCACAGTAAGCCTGGATGGCTGAGGACCTTGAGCTTTCTCTCTGGGGAAGGAAAACGGCGTGGGTGGTAAGCGCTCACTACCTGCTACAGTGATCCCGTAAGGTGATTGTTACTTCTTTACTTGATGCTTCAGTAGAGAAAAGCAAGGCCAAGAAGGGTGAAGGAAGTTGAGGGGTGCAATTGGGACACAAAGTTGGACAGTTCACGCTTTGTCTCACAGTAAGCTGTGTACCATAGAACCACAAAGAGCCGAGTTCAAATCCCAGCTCGGCCCCGTACAAGCTCTGTGTAGCCTAAGTCGCGTCCACAACTCTCCTAGCTGCTGCTTTCCCAGGCGCTGAGATCCCCACTTGTAGGGGGGCTGTCAGGAGGGAGGGTTTGCCCTCTGCAGTCCAGGCCACTCCCTGTCCACGCGTGTGTGCAGCGAACTCTCGTTCCGGTTCTGCACATCTGCTCTGGAACAGTAGCAGCACCCCATGGTGAGGTCAAGGTCGGCATCCCAGGAGGTCAAGGGAAGTTAGTGCGCGCTCAGAGCTGAGGGGAAGCCGCCCATCCTGTGTCCCTGGGCTTCAGGGTCTGCCTGCGGCCTTGCTCCAAGAGGCCAGCCTGCCTTCTCCTAGGAGCGAAGGCTCACTTTTTTTTTTTGGTACTGGGAATCGAACTCAGGACCTTGCTCTTGCTTGTGCCACTGAGCTACATCCCTGGCCCGGCTCACTTGACCTGAAAGGTCCGTGTGAGCCCAGGTCCCTGACATTGGCTTCATTCCCAACACTCTGTCACCCAGGACACCTAAGCCTCAGAGTCAGACTCTCAATTAACCCATCAGGCAGGTTCTTGCCGTTCAAGTGGCACAGGGCAGAGGCAGAAACACCCCAGAGAGCCGGAAAAAGAGATAGATGCTAGAAGCCCACACGACCCCCCCGATAGTGCTGGCTGCTGAACCCTTTTCCCATGTGGCGCTGTCTTCCCTGAGGATGGTCTGTAATGACAGAAGGCCAAGGGAGGACACTTCCAGGACTTCCGGGCATGCAGATGTTCCGCGAGTGTTCTAAGAGGTTCGAGGGCCCTCTCCGGAGGGGTGTGGCCTGCCCAGAAGTGTCTGCACCTGTCTGAGCCCTGTGCAGGTTGCTGTAGGGGTCTGTGTGCTGCTTGGTTTCTGAGGATGTAGGGATGGCCCCGCCGTCGGACTT